TACAAAACATAATATCTATAAATCCATATAAATCAATCTAAATCTATACCTATATCTATGTGTACATGTATGCTTGTATCCCTAAATAGAACCTGTTTGACCACACTGAAATCTATGAGGACTTCAAAACAGGTGAAATTATATTTCTGTCATTGAAATTATCACTGTAGTAAAATTACATGTACCTAATTTTATAGCACTTCATATTTTAGATAATTTGGCTAATCTAAAACTAACTCGATCTTGCATTTAATTTTTTTCACTCATTACTAAACCAGATTGTCAATAACTAAGTTGTTTAAATCAATGTTAATAATAGTTAGGCCACTAAGTCAGTATTAGTAATAATGACCACTATTATGTCAGTAGGCATTTGTCCATATTTATAGCATGGGAATTAAGTAGGTGGGAATTTTACTATCTATTCATGAGAAATAAAGAACTAATCCTTAGTTATGGGTCAGCTCTGACACACAGGTGCAAAGTCATCTGCTTCCTTTTGCTTTCTTTTCATTAGTTTATTTTTTCCCATCCTAAATTTTTCTTCTGTCACAATGCTCTTACTCTTAATTTTTACGAGAAATTCCTCCTAAGTCAGGTAGTGTGGTGCCTCTAGCTTTTTTATTTTTTTCTTTTTTGCTTAGGATTGTCTTGTCTATGCGGGCTTTTTTTTGTTTGTTTTGGTTCCATATGAAGTTTAAGGTGTTTTTTTCCAATTCTGTGAAAAAAGTTTGATGGGGAGAGCATTGAATCTATAAATTAATTTGGGCAGTATGGCCATTTTCACAATATTGTTTCTTCCTAACCATGAGCATGGAATGTCTTTTCATCTGTTTGTGTCCTCTCTTATTTCCTTGAGCATTGGTTTGTAATTCTCCTTGAAGACGTCCTTCATATCCCTTGTTAATTGTATTCCTAGGTATTTTATTCTCTTTGTAGCAATTGTGAATGGGAATTCACTCATGATTTGGCTCTCTGTTTGTCTGTTATTGGTGTATGGGAATGCTTACAGTTTTTGCACATTGATTTTGTACCCTGAGACTTTGCTGAAGTTGTTTATCAGCTTAAGGAGATTTTGGGATGAGACGATGGGATTTTCTAAATATACAATCATGTCATCTGCAAACAGCGACAATTGGACATCCTCTTTTCCTATTTGAATGCCCTTTATTTCTTTTTCTTGCCTGATGGCCCTAGCCAGAACTTCCAATACTATGTTGAATAAGAGTGGTGACAGCATGGTACCGGTACCAAAACAGAGATATAGACCAATGCAACAGAACAGAGACCTCAGAAAGGATGCCACACAACTACAACCATCTGATCTTTGACAAACGTGACAAAAACAAGCAATGGGGAAAGGATTCTCTACTTAATAAATGGTGTTGGGAAAACTGGCTAGCCATATGCAGAAAGCAGAAACTGGATTCCTTCCTTACACCTCTACAAAAATTAACTCTAGATGGATTAAAGATTTAAACATGAGGCCTAATACCATAAAAACTCTAGAAGAAAACCTAGGCAATACCATTTAGGATGTAGTCATGGGCAAGGACTTCATAACTAAAACACCAAAAGCAATGGCAACAAAAGCCAAAATAGACAAATGGGATTTAATTAAACTTAAGAGCCTCTGCACAGCTAAACAAACTATCATTAGAGTGAACTGCCAACCAATAGAATTGGAAAAAAATATTTCAATCTACCCATTCTACAAAGGGCTAATTTGTTAAGTGGGATAACTTAAACAAATTAACAAGAAAAAAAACAACTCCATCAAAAAGTGGGCAAAGTGTATGAATAGGCACTTTTCAAAAGAAGACATTTATGCAGCCAATAAACATGAAAAAAAAGCTCATCATGATTTGTCATTAGAGAAATGCAAATCAAAACCATATTGAGATACCACCTCATGCCAGTTAGAATAGCAATCATTAAAAAATCAGACAACAGAGGGGTTGTGGAGAAATAGGAATGCTTTTACACTGCTGGTGGGAGCGTAAATTAATTCAACCATTGTGGAAGACAGTGTGGCAATTGCTCAAGGATCTACAAGTAGAAATACTATTTGGCCCAGCAATCCTATTACTAGGTATATACCCAAACAATTATAAATCATTTTTCTATAAAGACACATGCACATGTATGTTTATTGTGGCACTCTTCACAACAGCAAAGACTTGGAACCAACCCAAATGTCGATTAATGATAGACTGGATAAAGAAAATGTGGCACATATACACCATGGAATACTATGCAGCCATAAAAAAACAATGAGTTCATGTCTTTTGTAGGGACATGGATGAAACAGGAAATCAACATTCTCAGCAAACTGACACAAGAACAGAAAACCAAACACCGCATGTTCTCACTCATAAATGGATGCTGAACAATGAGAACACATGGACACAGGGAGGGGAACATCACACACCGGGGCCTGGAGGGTGTGGGGCTAGGGGAGGAATAGCAGGGGATGGGGAAGTTGGGGAGGAATAGCATTAGGATAAATACCTAATGTAGATGACGGGGCAATGCATGCAGCAAACTACCACCATGGCACATGTATACCTTTGTAACAAACCTGCATAATCTGCACATGTACCCCAGAACTTAAAGTATAATAAATATATTTTTTTAAAAAAGAAATTCCTCCTAAGTGATTCATATACTAGGGCTTTGCAGAATATTTGTGGAAGATCATTAGCATCTAGTGGAGGCTTTCCTATAACAGTCACAATGTGACATGCATGTTTCAATAGAGAATTTATTCAAAAATGTGCAAAGCAAATCTCCTTATGTAATTTTTTGTTCCTTGCCAAGAAGAAAAATTCCAATGTGAATAATCACTGAAATACTTAAGAATATAAACTCATTTGAATAACATAAACCTGCTTTTGTAAATACAAAAAACTAAAGTTGATTTTATGCAAAACTGGGTCATTTATACTCCCAATATTTTGCATATGCAGTGATTCCCAAATGAAATGCCTTTTCCTTTAATCCAATTTTCATTTTCTTTTTCATAACCATATACAAACACCCTATTTACAAAAACAAAACAAAATACTTTGCTATTTACTCTAAATTTTATTACTCTTTTAGTCACTATCCTCTTAACGCTTTTAATGTTTCTTCTTGTCTATTTACACTGGTACAAACTTGGAATTTTGGCACTCAATGCTCGGTGGAAAGAATGAATGAAAGAACATGAGATGTTTTTTGTGCATATAATTATATACTACCTTATTTTTCACTCAGGAATGTAATTTCCTTCCATGGTTACTTTTTAAATGGATTGTAATGAATTTAAAAGCCACATGGCTTTGTTTCTCACCAAATGGTAAAGCAACCTCCTTCTCTCCTACCAGCTGCTTCCCAGAGTCACTGTCCTGTTAACAGGAGCTACAGGAATCTGAAATCTGTTAAACTGAAACACAGGAAAATTATCTCAATTTGCTACACTAGTGAGAGCTGACAGATTGCACTGCAATAAGGTCAATTTAACATGAATCTTCAAAATATATGCCCACTTAATGAAAACATTATAGTCAAGATTGTGTAGTTATATTGAAATCTCTTAAATGGAGGTATTCATACTTTCATAATTCTTAGGCATTTTAATAAAATATCTTCCAACATTAGAATATAATTTCTGAAACTTTTCAAAAAATTTAAGTCTGATTCCCAGGTTGTGGATGCTTCTGCAAACCTTTATTAAATTTAACAAATTTCCTTGTGGAAACTGAAGTTAATCCTGAAGTCTGCCTTTACATGATTTACAAAATGGTACTTAGGTTTTACACAAAAAATATAATTAAGTGATCATACTGCCTCTAACAAACCTTTTATAGGAATTGTACTGTCTTTGTTTTCATTTTTCATTTCCTACAATCTTTCTTAATTTAAAATAGCAGCTATTCTGTGTCTCTAGGGCGTAGCAATACTACCCTGGAGCATAATTTTTAAATCCTGCTTGTAACATATTTCCAACAGGCACATTGTTGCAGAAACACCAATGACTGACAGCTCTGATGACGCTGCTGATAGGATCAACTTGATCAAGATACCGATTCTGAATGAAGGCTTTGGCAACCAGAAGTAATCATTCTAATGCTGACTAATGGAAAAAAAAGTCAAAGATGGATTAACTGGGCCAAAGGAATTGACTTTTTTACTTCACAAGTAACCACAGATAGAAGTATTTTAGAGTTGATTCAACAGGCTTTCGGTGACAGAGACACAGCAGGGTGATGCTCTCCTCAGGGGAGGAGTTCTTAGGTGTTTGCACCATAGTAGCTGCTTTCACACAGTACCTTGAGAAAATGTATAATTTAAGATGGATGCAAAGAAGCTTACACACAAATTTTGAATAAATTATAGATATAAGCTTGATTATTGGAAATCCGGGAACACAAACCATTAGCACATGGCATGATTCCTCAGTGTGCACACGCTTTCTCTTGCCTAGCCCAGGCCCTCACACAGCTTTGATTCACTCCTCTGTGAGGACATTGCCTTCATTTTATCCTCAGTTTATTTGAAATCTAGGGCTGCATTTCTGCCTACTCAACAGGTAATTTTTCTCGTGATCTACTGAGATGCAACACCAGGATATCTCTCAAATCTCATTCATTCAAGGTCTTTTATTCATTTAAATTGAAATGTTGAATTTGTGATCAGTGGTAGGTTCTCTATTGAGGGGCCCAAATACTATTAAAATACTACAGCTTTTTATTTATGTATTTATTTATTATTTTATTTTTATTTTTTTAAGACATGGTCTCACTTTGTTGCCTAGGCTGAAATGCGGTGGCACAATCACAGCTTATTGCAGCCTCAACCTCCTGGACTAACGTGATCCTCCCTCTTCAGCCTCCTAAGTCCCTGAACTACAGATGCAAACCACCACACACTGCTAATTTATGTACTTTTTGTAGAGATTCAGTTTTGCTTTGTTATCCAGGCTGGTCTCGAACTCCTGGGCTCAAGCAATTCTCCCACCTCAGTGCCCAAAAATGCTGGAACTGCAGGTGTAAGCCACTGCACCTGGCATGTGGCTCAGCTCTTGATGAGCTTCCAGGAGTTAGCAAAGTCTTCTGGAAACAGACAGATGAGTTCACCTGTGTCTGGTCTCAGGTGTGAACATGCAAAGGCCTGGATACATGAGACAGCACAAACAGTGTGAGGACTGGAAGAAGGTTTGCATTCATTATAGGGAAGGGAGGGACAGGAGAAAGAAATGAGGCTGAAGAAATGAGAAGAAAGAAATGAGGCTGAAGGAATGGGCAGGAGGCGGCGTATGTCTTCTTACCATGGAGACCATCAGCTTTGAACTGTTAAGAGTGACTTCTATATTGGTCTCTCCATTTTTAGCTTTCCTACTGGAATCTGCCTTACACACCACTGTTAAAACTTCCTAATGCACTACTTTGATAACTTAGCTCCTCAGTTTATGAATCATTAAGAGTTCATAATGCTTAGCTAAAACTACAAAATATTAAGTATTTTCTATGTCATACTTTCAGCTTCTTCTACCTCTTTCACCCTGCATATTTATGTACGTGTCATATATAATCCAAATGGCCTAGGGACTCAGTAAATTGCCTCAACCCTCCTAAAATTTTTCTGCTCAATCTGTTCTCCAGTCTCATGACAAATTCTGTACTGTTGTGGATCTCTACTGTAATCGTAATAATAATAAAAGTAATAATAATAGCTAGCATTGGCCACACCTAGAAGTTCATCTGCATTGCACTTCCTCTATGAACTCTTTCATAACTACTCTGTAAAAGGTGTGACAATGTTCTTTTCTTTGCTCACTTGTGAATAAATGGACTGAACATCTTCTGAATTTTTCACATTTTGCTTTGTGTTTAGTCACTTATGTTACACCTTAAACTCTAAAATATGGGGCTACAGCTTACTTATTTAAAAAATTTATTAAGGCATCCAATGTAAGTCGTTATATATAAAATGTTCAGTGGAAGTATACCATGACAATCAGTGCTGAAATATGGGCTGTCCAATCTCCTTTATCACACTACATTTATTGTATACATTTGAATTGATACTTTATGGGAAAAAGGTGAACTTAATAGTTCATGCAGAAGTCCGCAGAATGTGTGCATTTTGGTAGACAGAGATGTTTTCTACATTTTTGAAATAATAATTGGAATTTTTCTAGGGTTTTTTTCAGATGGCCTCTAGGAAAAGTAATTTTAAACAACAAGAAGAGACAAACATAGTACCAGTATGTGACCTTAAATAGACTTATCATTTAACAGATTTAAAAGTCTGCATGTATGTACATAATTTATAATATTATATATGTCTATGTGTATCTACGTCTGTGTCTACATCATGTAATTTATATCTATATCTTTAAAGAGTAAGATAAAATCCAGTAGAATTGCCTTAGAATTGCTCAGTAATCAAACATGATTGAATTTAACAAATAACTGGTCCCTCAAACACTGAAAGCCCATACCACCTTGTCAGTTAAGGTAACTTTTTATTATGCTGTGGAATGCGAAAGCCCTGGTGAGAACAAACACATTTCATTTCGTCAATGGAAGTATACCATGACAATCAGTGCTGAAATATGGGCTGTCCAACCTCCTTTATTGCACTACCTAAGTGGATTGAATCAGAAGGGAAATGGACTCTCCCAGGTCTAAATTGCAATAGGTAATTTTCAGACAAGCATGGAAGGATTTGTGCATCAGAACCTTGGTGTATTTGCAATGATAGGAAGGGATAATGTTTATTTACGCTGTGAGAATCACTGGTCATTTGGGAAAGCCACTAGACCCTTCTGCTCCTTCTCAAATGCATATTAGAGAAAAAAGTTCCTATACGCTTTCAGATTCTTCATTGTTTAAAACTTTCAGAGGCAGGATATTATATAGTTAAGAATACAGGAATGGGATGGAGAAGATGGGGAAAGAGGAGGACTTTAACAGACTTGAAAACATGTTTTAATTACCAAGAAGCTCCATCCCTCAGGAGACTTAGTTCAATCTGTCAGTAACAAATTGTATATGACGGCCAGAGGGATTTTTAAAAAATCAATCATCGCCACTATCTCACTCACCAGCCCAAATAAATCAACTATCTTACCGTATCTTTCCTATAATTAAATAGAAACGGCAGAGCATATCGCCTGGTCTCATGACCAACAATGGTAAATTATATAGTGATTTTAATAATTTATGTATATAATTGCATAACACATCATTTGTTTATATAATTATATAATACATTATTTATAATTATCTGTATACTATATAATGAATGTAAAATACTTGCGAATATATTAGATCAGACAAATTATGGAAGGGCAAAATGTTAATTACACTTGAGCATTGAGGAACAAAAAAGATTCATGGATTTAATGCAGAGCAAAATAACTTTAAAAGCCTTGATAGCATTAGCTATGACAATATCACAACAGCAAGTTGTTGAGCTAAGCTAGGACGTGTGTGATTTTCCATTTTCAGTTTTTCACCAAAATGACTCAAACAATGTAAGCAGGATTTTCATTTTTTAGTGAAGAAAATTGAAAGTTTTCTCATTCATAACTATGAAGCTCAGCAATTTTTATAAAAATGGTGGTGGTAAAAAATATTGGTACATCATTGAGCTATTTATCAACCAGTAGCAATGCCTAGAACCTGGTATAATAAAAGAAGCCCTGGTTTTGTATGTTTGTGGTGAAACTCAACAGGGCACAGCGATTATCACAAGCTCTGATACTGTGCACTTTGACATAATCTGCAGAAAGAATGGAAATTCTTACAAACTTGGCAGCCTGCATTTATTAGCTGCATACAGGGAGTAAATTGCCTTTCTGTGTTCAATATCCACATGGTAGATTATTGGGTATTAAGCCATTGGTAGCCTGCATAAACGCAGAAGACTAAGAGATTCCATGCAAGTCCACAGTTCTCTGGCCCTCTCTCACTTCTCTCACACTCTCTCTTTCATTGATTTTCATTCTTAGCTCTTCCAAATTAAATGTTTCTGGTACTGGCAAGAAAAAAATTACAATGATTATATTGTGCTCATTATATATATGTTCAAGCAAATGAATAAGTGATATATTTTTCTCTCAGCATTTTGAGAGTAGCAATCTATTTCTACAGATTCCTGTTAACTAGAGAGAATTCACTGAACAATTTCCTTTGCGGTCATTCATTTTAAATGTATTTATTTTAAGATTTTTACCTCTGTAGTTGCTTTTCTACTATTTAAATATAGTGTTCTTAGACTTATTTTTTCTTACCTAGTGATTTTATTTATGTAGCTAATAATATGACTTTTATCAATTCTGGAAAATATCCCAATATTACTTAAATGTTGCCTAATATTCATCTTATTTATTGACTCCCTCTGAAATTCAAATTCATGAATCTTATTATCTTACTATTTTATACACAACTTTATAACCATGGATAATTTCTCAAGGACCACTATTCTGAGTCATCAATGTACTATTCTACTGAGTTTAGTGTAAAGGGTTCCTTGGCTAGTGTGTTGAGTACATATTTTTGGAGTTCAAGAACTTAAGCGGGAGATGAGTAAGACACCCTCAGTGTAATCCAGAGGAGTTGGTAGTGGCATGAACACAAGGGAAGTAGTTACACTCTTCATAGATTTTGAAGGCAAAGCAGCATGATTTTCCAACAGATGTGGTGATACATAAGGGAAAGAAAGGTGTCAAGAATAATGTTTAAGTTTTGACTGGAACAACTATAAGAATGAAATTGCCATCGACTAAGCTGTGGAAGGGTCAAATTAAAGAAAAGGAATACTTAATGTAGGTGACGGGTGATGGAGGCAGCAAACCACCATGGCATATGTATACCTGTGTAACAATCCTGCAAGATCTGCACATGTACCCCACAACTTAAAGTATAATTTAAAAATGTATAAAAGAAAATGAGATTGGGAATCAAAGTCACCTGTTGAGTTTGAAAATCTTTTGGGCATTCAATTGGAGATATTAAGTAGGCAGGTAGATATATGAGTCTGACTGATGGAGAAAGGTTTTTGTCATTTGTCATTCTAAAATTGATAGGTGACTAAGCTCTTAGAACCAAGGTAGATAGTTCTGCATATAGCCAAGATGTTATAAAAAGGATTGAATATCAACAGCAACAAAAAGATGACAAGAAAAAACAATTTTTAAGGCACTAGGTATAAAAGCAATAAAAAACAACTTGGAGAAATGAAAACAAGGCAAACTCTAAATTTTTTCCACCTTAAAAGAGTTCCATGCCATGATTCAGGGAAGGGGACCCTCGATGACTGCTCAGCAGACTATCTGACTCAAGGTCTGGAGAGCACAGGGCACCTAGAATTCATAACAATAGAGTTCCAAATAAGAAAAGAAAGCAGCAAAAGAGGAAAATGGAAACAAATGGGAAAATACATGGTGAAGACAATACATGTAATCCTAACCTTTTCAATAATTACATTAGTTTTGAATGGTTTATGTACCCAGTTAAAAGGCCGAGACTGAAGATGGAATTAAAAAATAAGAGCCATCTATAATTTGCCCTTAAGAAATACTCTGTATATATAAAGGCATAAATTAATTAAAATTAAAACAATAACAATTATGAAAAAAAGAAAGAAAAGGCAAATGAAGCAAATAGAAAACAACCCGATAGATTATAGATTTTTAAGCCAAATAGATCATGCATAGGAAACCTACAAGATACCATCTCTGGACACAGACAGATGGAAAAACATTCCATGCTCATAGTTAGGAAGAATCAATGTTGTGAAAATGGTCATACCACCCAAAGTAATTTACAGATTCCATGCTATCCCCATCAAGCTACCAATGATCTTCTTCACGGAATTGGAAAAAAACACTTCAAACTTCATATGGAACCAAAAGAGAGCCTGCATAGTCAAGACAATCCTAAGCAAAAAGAACAAAGCGAGAGGCATCACGCTACCTGACTTCAAACTATACTACAAGTCTACGGTAATCAAAACAGCATGATACTGGTACCAAATCAGAGCTATAAATCAAGGGAACAAAACACAGGCCTCAGAGGTAATGCCACACATCTACAACCATCTGATCTTTGACAAACCTCACAAAAACAAGCAATGGGGAAAGGATTCCATGTTTAATAAATGGTGTTGGGAAAACTGGCTAGCCATGTGCAGAAAGCAGAAACTGGACCCCTTCCTGATATCTTACACTAAAATTAACTAAAGATTAATTAAAGACTTAAATATAAGACCTAACACCATAAAAACACTAGAAGAAAGCCTAGGCAAAACCATTCAGGACATAGGCATAGGCAAGGACTTCATGACTAAAACACCAAAACCATTGGCAACAAAAGCCAAAATAGACAAATGGACTCTAATTAAACTCCAGAGCTTCTGTACAGCCAAAGAAACAATCATTACAGTGAACTAGCAACCAACAGAATGGGAAAAAAATTTTGCAAGCTACCCATCAGAAAATGGCTAGAATTCAGAAAATTCCAGAATCTACAAAGAACTAAAACAGGTTTACAAGAAAAAAACAAATAACCCCATTCAAAAGTGGGTGAAGGATGTGAACAGACACTTTTCAAAAGAAGACATATATGAGGCCAGGAAACATGAAAAAATGCTCATCATCACTGGTCATTAGAGAAATGCAAATCAAAACCACATTGAGATACCACCTCATGCCAGTTAGAATAGCGATCATCAAAAAATATGGAGACAACAGATGCTGGAGAGGATGTGGAGAAACAGGAACACTTTTATACTGTTGGTGGGAGTGTAAATTAGTTCAACCATTGTGAAAGACAGTGTAGTGATTCCTCAAGGATCTAGAAATAGAAATTCCATTTGACCCAGCAATCCCATTACTGGGTATACATCCAAAGATTATAAATCGTTCTATTATAAAGACACAAGCACACGTGTGTTCATTGCAGCACTGCTTACAATAGCAAAGACCTGGAACCAACCCAAATGCCCATCAATGATAAACTGGACAAGGAAAATATGGCACAGATACACCATGCAATACTATGCAGCCATAAGAAACAATGAGTTCATGTCCTTTGTAGGGACATGGATGAATCTGAAAACCATCATTCTCAGCAAACTGATGCAAGAACAGCAAATCAAACACTGCATGTTCTCACTCATAAGTGGGTGTTGAACAATGAGAGTACATGGACACAGGGAGGGGAACACCACACACTGGGGTCTGTTGGGGGGGTTAAGGTGGGACAGCGGCGGGTGGAAAGGTTGGGGAGTGATAACATTGGGAGAAATGCCAGATATAGGTGACAGGGGGATGATTGCAGCAAACCATCTTGCCATATAAGTACCTATGCAATAACCCTGCATGATCTGCACATGTACCCTAGAACCTACAATAAAAAAAAACAAAGATGCCATCTCTAAAATCCCAGATAGAAAAAAGAAAAAAAAAGCAAGTGTGAAGGGAAATCTATCATACAGGCGTAAATATGGCCACACACACAAGTGCTGTAGTAGCTATATTAATATTATAAAATGTAGATTTTTGAACAAGGAATATGTTCACAAATAAAAAGTGATAATACACAATGTTAAAGAAATTTTAAAGAAAACATTAAAATACTAAATGGAAATGCACCCAAAATACAACTTCAAATATAAGTAGAAGAAACTGATAGATATGAAAAGAGGCATACAAAAGTTTACAATTATAAAGAGATGTTTGAATACTGTCATCTCATTGATTTAGAAAAAATAGTTGGAAAATTAACTTAATATATTATGCCTACAAGAAAATCTACAGATGGCATTAACCTATTAGTAAGAGGCTAAATGTTGTCTCCTTATGACTAGAGATGGAGGCCAGATGTTCCATCTCACCATTTCTATTCAATATCTTGATGGAAAACCTAGAAAAGATAATAAGGCAAGAAAATAGCTAAAACAGATGCAGACTGGCAAGGAAGAACACAGAAATCTTTGGTATTGTTATCTATATAGTATATCTATATATACTAAAAAATCCAGTAGGAATTTCTAGAACTGATAAGTGAATTTAGCAAGGTCATCAATAAAATGTCAATATCCAAGGTCAATAATGCTTTTATATGGAACTATGAACAATTTAGTTTTGAAATTTAAATGTACATATGTGCACATTAACATGGGGGAGAGAGAGAGAGAAGTTTAAGTCTAACAAAAATACGCCCAGGCTGTCTACACTGAAAGCTACAAAATACTGTTGAAAGAATTAAATAGATACCTAAATAAATGGAGAAGTGTACTACATTCATGGATTGGAAGACCCAATATTGTTAAGAGATCTACTCTACCCAATTTGATCTAGTGATATCACTACCCCAGTAAAACAATCTTACGTCTTTTTACATATGTTGATGAGCTGATTCTAAAATGTGTTCAAAAGGCAAATAAAATAGAATTGACAAAATACATCATCAAACAATTGACAGGTTCACAATGTTCAGTTTCAATAATTAATATAAAGCTACAGTAATCAAAACAAGATGATATTGACAAAATAATAGGCACATATAGGTAAATGGCTCACAATAGAAATTCCAGAAATAGACCTACAAAAATATATTCAGCTGTTATTGACTAATTGGCAAAGGCAATTGATCCGAAAAAAGCAGTCTTTTTAACAAATGATACTGAAAAAATTTGAACTTCCATTTACAATTAGTAAATAACCTAAATACATATTTCAGACCTGAAAATTAAATTGAAATTAGTCACATATCTGAATGCAAGACATAAAAATATAAAACTTTTGGAAGCATGTGAGGAAATCTCTCTGGCTTTGTGCTTGGCAATTAATTTTTATAAATAAACGAAAATTATGAAACATAAAAATTCAGGTTGATAAATTGGGCTTTATCAAAATAAAACATCCTGCTCTTCAAAAAACTAGTAGGAGTTTGAAAATAGAAATCCACTGGTTAAAGAAAATATTTGTGGACTATTTATCTGATAAAAGACTTAAATCCAGAATATATAAATAAATCTCAAAATTCAGCAATAAGAAAACAAGCAACTAAATTAATAAAAGAGCCAAAAGACATGCACATGCCAAATACGGAGAGCAAAACTTGTTTCACATTGTCCATCATTATGAAAAGTATATGTTTTTAATAGCAGTGCTTGAGCTGCAGCCAGCCTTCTGTAATAATTGCTATTTTGGACCTTATTTAAATTTATATTTGTCTTTGGTCAGTTACTGTATAATAGATAAGGAGATACTCAGGTGAAGTATATGTGTCCTTCAAAATGCAAATAGTTTCATAAGACATTGTGATTATTTCTTATTAATGGGGCTTAGTGGCCAAGTATCTCCAAGTATCGAAGTCATTTTTGAGCTACTGAATTTCTTGAGTAGGGAAAGCCACATCTACCTTGGTAGAGCCATCAATGAAAGTACTTTGCTCAAGTCATTCAACATTTAGTCTTCAGAATCCACCAGATTCTCAATGCAATCTGATGCATATGAGTACTTGCATCATTGATTTTTTCAATAAAGCCAAATTTTCTTTTGACCTCCATAATTTGATACTGCTTAAATTTACTGTTAGAATGAGTTTGGACAATTCTAAATGTATCCATTTAAATAACCAATTGAAATTGGGTAGAGAATAAATTTACCTGACATTTGAGCCTGTTCATCACATCTATTAATTTCAATTATGCATTCAGCTATAGTTAAAGGTACTATAAAATATTTTTTAAAACAAACAGAAAAAACCTTCCTGCTTTCTAATTAGTCTCAGCAAAACCCTAATAACTTCTACCACAGACTCATTCCACCTTTCATATCGCAGCCCTCTGATACTGCCCTTGTGCTTTTACGCAAGGATGGGATTACAGCCAAGAGCCACCACACCTAGCCACAACATTTTGTTTATCCATTTATCTGTCAATGGATACCTGTGTCATTTCCACCATTTGGCCACTGTGAATAATGCTACTATGAACATAGGTACACACCTACCAATCTGAGTTCTTGTTTTCACTTCTTTAGAAACCATAATCAATTATTTGTCCAAATACTTTTTTCACCACCATCAGTCCACTCAACTTCAGTTGCAGCATTTGAACTTGGATTCCTTCTGGAGGCCAAACATGGCATCCTAGTCCTCATATCTGCCTCTTTTCTTCTACCACTTTAACAGATGAGAAAACTCAGGACACCACTCTGTGTGCTTTAATTTCCTTCAACAGAATGGATTTACATTCATCGAAACTGAGATAAATAGCATTTTCTTTGGTGAGGTGGTTTCCCAAATAATAGTGAATATTGATTTCCTTCCAATCAGCAATGGCGTACCACCA